TTACTGTGTGCCCTGTGAATTGATTCTCTCTTCTTATGAAACTCGGATATGCAGCTGGCATGTCAGTTTTGTTGGGACATAAATTCACACAAAAGTGACAGATTAATATGACCCTGGCACAAGAGCAATGCAAAGAGTCAAGTAGCCATCACACTTACTTATACAACAGCAAATCAAGTGTGTGAGATAATCTGGATTGTGAAATGTTTATAACCATTCTAGGAAAGTGGGTGAAGAAAAACAATTCGTACAATTTGAACTTTTAGCATGAGACTAGTGATTTTGTCAGGGGTTCCCTTTACAAACCTCCCTCAGAGAGAAGAAAAGCAAGTATTCCACTTCTTATCCTGCCAAGATAATGATCCACAGACACTACCGTCAGGTCAGTAATTCCAGTTATGCTCTAGAGAACAGTAACCTCAAATTCTAGTTGTGGTTTGCATTTCTCAGCTTTTAGAAATAGATAGTTACTGGAAGTGAATTCACTTTTTTCCTCTTACCCTTGTGAGCATCACCAAAGATCACAATGTGCCAGATGTCTGCAGACAACCCATCCATTAAGAAACCACTGCTGTGTATCATATAAATTAATTAGGGACTGAAGTTCATGCTTTAGTAGATGCCACTGGTTAAGTTAAAAGAACAATACATTAACTAACTACTCAAATAAGTCTCCTTCGCCTGTTCTGTCCAGTCTCACCCAAGCAGCAGACAAGTTACTCAGAGTAAAATTCAAAAATACAATTTTTCCATTAGAAAATCTGAGGTCAAAGGATCCTGCTTTCTCCCATGCTCGTTACCACACATTCATTACCACACATCAAGCTTTCTAGGTCAGACCATTTCCCTGATACACACCAATCTCACCCTCACCACCACACAAGCCAGTACAGCAGAAGGTGTAAAAGCCCAGGAGCAGCCTTGCTGCTGAACTGTACAGGGGATTACCCATTAGTAGTCTGGTGCTTCCTAAATTAGTGCCTTGAGTAATTCAGTCAGCCTCAGGTGACAAAAATGGGTAGAATCCAATCCAACTAACTTGGGTAGCTAATTGCATCTAAATTTTCGGTGCCTCTTGAACCAGTCCTTCTAAAATAAATTCCATATATAGCCAGTAGGAAAGCTAGGTGCCTTTGAGAGCCTCCTGAGGGACAGCCTAAATTAGGCAGGCAGGATCTCCCTCTGGAGTGGCTTTTCTAGGCATTTCTCTCTCCCTACTGAACATGGTGGGAATTTAGGCACTTAATTTAAGAGAACTAGTTCACTATGTGCTCAAAACATAGGTGCTAATTAGCTGCCTATGCCTGACTAGAACCCCCCAATTCAGATTCCAAACAATTTATCTTGAAGACCAGCATTATGTTATGCCCTACTAACATTAAAAAAACCCATAAACAAACAAACCAGCATGCATGGCTCACCACAAACAGATCTAGATCAGGAAGGTAGTAAGAGAGTGTATAAATATGGGATGTCAGGACCATACCTTTCTGATGGCCTCGGCACGCTCCAGCACTCCCACAGCAAAAGCCCAGTGCTCTAAGAAGAGAAAGCAGTCAAAGCACTTGTAGCCATGAGCAGGGCAGGATGTGCAAGTGAATATTATCAACTGTACATGTGACACTAGGTAAGAAGTTGGTCCTATCCTCTGTTCCCCTGAGCACCGGCTGTTCTCCAGCTCCTTCTGCCTTAAGGCCAAACTAAGCAGCTCCATGGAACTTTTTCACAACAGAGCTCTGTCAGCTGCCCACCCCCTTAAAAAATTAATAAATAAAATACAGGCTACTCCCTAAGTGTTTCATAACTCTTACTACAACACAGGATGTAGACTGGGAGCAAAGCAAACCCAAAGCCATAGCAGTTGCTGTGTACATAATAATCTCACTCACATTATCTCCAGCACAATAAAACACACCAACACCATCACAGCAAGAGGTACTTGCATTAAAACTACAAGCCAAATGTCCCAAAGGTAAGCAAAAAGCAAGCTTTTACAGGACAGCAGAGCTGCCCCATGGTAGCAGCTGTAGGCTCGCTTTGCCCCATGGAGGCTCCAGGCCTGAGGAGAGGCGCTGGGGTGAGGCTTCAGGCAGGGCCCTCCTGTGGGGACAGCGGTAGACAAGAAGTCCTGACAGGATTTTGGGGTGGCTGCATGGCAGAGGTGCAGGCTGAAGGAAGCTGAGACCAGGCTGGATATTAACTAGAGGGAAGAAATCCCTGTCATGGCCCCGCCTCCCTTTCCAGGAGCCAGCACAGCACCTCTTCCACAGCAATGTCTCCCTCAAACCCCAACACACCCACGCCCAGGAACACCAAGGGTTTGATTATTTTGACCCCAAACCAGTTGCTCCAGCACAATTCACTGGGCTTCCACCTACCCTTCAACTCCTGAGGAGCGCCCAGAAGGAGAACCACCATGAGCTGCCTCTTCCTCCTCTTCTCACAGCAGCTCTGGGGGCAGCACAGAGACCCCACCCAAACTGGACAAAGGACAATTCAGCACCAAAGGCAGCTGCAGGAAATAAACTACATCAGCTGAATAAATGCAGACCAGCTGGGGAGGGTGACGGGACAGAAAATAGAGCTCAGGTGGTTCTCCTCAGGGCCTGTGCTGAGGGGTAACACAGCAGACATGGCCTCCAACACAACATCTCCACCTGGGCCAGCCTCTGTGATCCGTCTCAGATCTCTGCTTAAATAAACCTCCTTTTGAGTAAATTTAAGCAGTGGGGCTCATATCAGCCATCACATGACAGTATAGAATCATAGAATCATAGATTCCAGTATAGAATCATAGAATTAGTATCACCAAAAGCCCCATATATACGCTTTCTGGAACAACAAAAAAACACCCTTTTCTGTGGTGCTGCCCAACAGCAGAAGTCAGTCAGAAAACTCATTTTAATTTCAGAGTATTCTATACTCTGGGTGCATCTCTTCAGATGTCTTAGTAATAGGGAGTATCACCCTCCACAGATTTTAGATATCCTTTGGTTAAGGCAGTGTGTGGGGGGGTGTTCTTTAATTAAAATGGCTTTTATTAGGAAAAATTAAGTTCTCAGAGACATTATGAGAATTTATGGCACTCCCTGGGTAAATTAGCGCTCAGAAATCAACAGTTTTGCAGGCTTTTGGTGCCTGTACGGATCTCCCAGGCACGAGCCCGGCGCCGGGTGACGATGGGACACTTTTCTTCATTTCCCTTTGCTTCTTCTTGTCTGCAATGTAGAGATAATGCTCCTCGGCGCTGCGGTGGTGCCAGGCTTGATTCATGAATGTTTTAAAGCATTCTGTGATATTCGCCCTGAAAGGTGCTTGAGAACCATAAATTATTACTTTAATATAGATAATAGTTTTCATCTCATGAATGTTTTATAGCGCTACTCCAAATTCATGCCTGATCTAACTCTAATAACTTGAGCAGAGTTAAACTAGGGATGAATTTGGTACGATATATGAGGCAGCAAAATGAAATTCCAAGTGTGAGAGCGAGGACTTGCCAAGTGGCACTGCGTACACAGAAATGTCACAAACCTGCCCCACTGCCTGCTTACCTCCACCAAAAACATCACCTCTTGGCATTCTTTAAGGTCTGATTCCTCATGAAATGTCTGCTTCACGACAAAACATATTTTTCTAATACGTTCTATGGCAGTGCACACATAGTTTGTGTTTACTAAGAATTAGCAGACTCGGTAATGTATTTGCTGTCTGTTTTGACGCAGATTTTTCAGTTGAAGGCAGATTATTTCTCACAGGAGCAATGCTTTTAAGCTCCTACAGCTTCCAGTCTTTAGTCATGGGAGCACAGGACATGGGACCGGGAGGGATCCTCTGGGCCACAGTCCACTTCTCAGAAGCAATCACATTATAAGCAGCTGTGGAGAAAGCTTGTCAAAAGCCATTTAGAATAGTTAGGCTTTTTGTCTCTCTACCCTATAAAAAATGCTGTTCATACACTCCACCTCTGTGATAGTTGGATTCTTTTAATTCCCAGACCAGATCTATTCATGGCCAGTTTAGATCTCTTTGTTGTGGTGCCAGCCTTTCTCAATAGCTGAAATAACTTTCCTCCTCCAATGTCATCTGACCGCTCTCCCTGTATGTATACATGAAGAAAAATTATATTCTTACTCAATCTTCATTTTGTTAGCCTAAGAAAGTCAAACTCGTTTAGTCTCCCTGTAAAACGTATTCCTTATTCCTCTGCTCATTTGGGAGGCCCATCTCTGATGAATTTAGTGTATATGTTCAAAAAGTAAGAGAGTCAGAGAAGAGGAACCTGCTTGTTTTCTAATTAAACAAAAATGCTGTAAATGCAGCAGAAAGAAGACCCAATTTAGTAAAAATTAAATCTTGTGTTTGCTGGCAAAATTGATGAAGTGGATATTGCCGCCAATCTTCTTTCAGTTTGATGGTAGAATTTTATCAAGGGACTTTGAACAATACACTGCTGGTATCAAACTAATGAGGGCCTGTTGCTGAGCGGGCCTTTGTTACATAAACAACACAATAAAGAAATTTCTAGGGATGTGATAACAAGCTTTGAAAAGCAAAAAAATATTTGCTAGACATCTGCCACTTCATACTTTTCTTGAACCCTGGAGAAATCCAGATTTTTGTTGATTCTAGTCTCCTTGCCCTCCTGCGCTTAGTCTCCTGGTGACAGAGAAGCCCAACTTCACCCATCAATTTGGAGGGAGTTACATCAGGCCTTGTATACTTTAGCCCTATAAGCAAGAGTAGGCAACAATAGCAATGGGAAAATCACCCTGCTGCTTTATTTTTGTGCAATTTGTAAAACTAGAATATGATTTTGCCCCAAAAGAGTCACTAAAGTTTTTCATTTTAAGCCCAGAGCTATTTGTACATCTTCTAATTGCAATATCCTACTGTCTCCCAATCAAAACTAAAGCGCGTGATAGTGTGAGAATATGTTTTATTTCTTTGAATTCTGCACCCAAGTGAACTCTGTGACCCTGGGTTTGTTTTCTTGCCAGCTGGTGAACGAGCAACAAGAAAGCAGACCCCTTCTGAGCCCCTCCATTGACGACTTTCTCTGTGAAACTAAACCAGAAGCTGTTGCAAGGCCTGTAACTTCAAATACTGCAGGTAAACAAAGTTCTTCACTGTCCAGCACCAGAGAGAAATACTTTTAGTATTATCTTAATTATGGTATATTTTTGTCAAGTGATTTCTCGATTTCTTACTGTTTGCACAAAATTATAAGCTGGTATTAAATTATAATTGCTTGACCTAATAGTAGAGAAAAGTTTGTTCGTTACATTTGAGGGCAAATCTGATGTGATGCAAATTCCAGCAGATCTCTGGGGCTGAATTCAAGGGAACTTGTTTCAGTTCAATGGGAAGCACATACTGTCTTGACCAATTCTCAGTCTTTGTTTTTGTAAAACTTTAACCTATGGGTAAGCCACATTTAGTCTGGTTTTAACCAAACCCATTTGTTGCTCCAGAAAGATTTTCTTTAATAAAAACTCGAATGGGATGTCAGAGAAAAGAGAAGAGATACCAAAACAGTTTATCCAGGCTGCATTTGGACACTTTATCCATGAAGGGATCGAACACATTTCTTAGCTCCTTTGCATTGCAGTGAGATAGTAGAACTGATAATAAAAAGTAAAAGTGAATCTTGAAAGCCTTTTGAATTATATTGAATTGTATTTGAAGTATATTGCCCTTTGGAAGTGTTTTTAGAAACTGGCCTCCTCCCATTCGGTGTTTGTGCAAAGGTAATCAAAGCAGTTGAGCAGATCAACCAAGATACAATAAAATCAGCACAGTGCTACTAGGTTCTGTTTCTATCCCATAAAATGAATTGGTTTGTTAGAAGCCATTTAATTAAAATCTATACACATACAAATTATTAAAATGATTAACTGACAGCTGGATAATTATCTTCACATCTAATTAATATGTGTCTAAAACAGTATGCAAGTTCTAATAACAAAACCTGGAACACTGAATTAAATAATAATTGTAAATAATATGATTTCCTTTTATATATAGCCAAAGATATTACAGGGATGAATAGAAATATTTCAGGTTGTTTAAGAGTGGTGTCTTTTGTAAGAAAGTAAGTATCTGTAGATCTGCCTTGAACATCAATCAGATTTGGGGGGGTTAATTAGATTTATTTAATAACAAACCAAAAATTTCTTATGAAGACTGATGAAATTCAGTGATTTACCAAGAACACAGGTAATGCACTGCAAGAGATAATATAAATTGATCTGTCAAAAACATTTACCCTATAAAATTATGATAAAGAGGGAGTTTTTCTATCTTTTATGTGCTAAAGAATTTTAAATGTTATTTTTTAAGCAACTCTTAAATAAAGAACTCAGACTGAACATGCCTTTCATAGTGATATAGTCCTTAATAGAAATAGCAGTAGAATTTATAACTATAGTCACTATTTGTCCCCTAAAAGATAAACAGCAACAACAGTAGAAACCATTACTAAACACTCCACTATTCCTTCGTGACCCAAGAATTTCTCCTCAGCTTTGTCCATAATGGCACGTGGCACCACAGTAGTGCCCAAAGCAGCTGTTACCAGCACTTGAGAAACCATAAAATTAAACCAATTCTTATCTAAAAGGTCAGTTGTCCAGGGAACCCTCACACAGAAGAAAATCTGTGGAGTAAGGCCACAGCCTTAAGACCTAAGATGTCTTTAAGATTTTCAGAGGAAAAGCCTTTTATGCAAATCAAGCTTTTTTCAACTGCATCCAGTTAGTAATTTTTTTTCCAATTAAAACAAATTTTAAAAAGTGAACTATTTGCATTAAACCAACATTAAATTCTAACATTTTGTCTCTAAGTATTATCAGCAGGTCTGGATCTCTTGGATCTTAGTGAACCTGTCTTACAATCCCAAAACAAAGTAAAGAAATCAGAGACTCCATCAAGAAGCGAAGGCTTAAAAGCTTCAGCCCACAGAAAGAAGACAGACAATTCTGACCTTATCAGTGTGGATACTGAGCAGAAAGCCCAGACTGTCAGAGTTTCAGACAAGTCTTCACTAGATTTAGGTAAGAGTGTAGCTATTTTATGAGTGCTACAGAGCCTTGCTTAGCACAAGTCACTCCTCCCTACTATCACAAAATAACGAGCAACGCCAGATTTTTTTTGTTGCACCTCATTTTAGCAGGGAGTGGAACCCTCCTTCCACGTTATAAACCACTTAAAACACTTCATCACTGCAAACACATTTTGCTTTTGCCTTTGCCATTTTACCTATTAAGTTGTCAGTAAATGTGCAAATAAAGTTTTGAAAGGATTTTTTCAAAAAATAATTTAATCAGGGTCAGTAAAATGGTAGAAAAATCTATAGGGGTATGATGGGGAACTGGTAAAGTCCATAATGGACGTCCTTTTCAGAACTGCAGATGTCAGAAATATATATGATATTTGTAAATATTGCTTTATCTATGCATACGAGGGAAAAAAAATCCATTCTTGACAAAAGAGCTATATTTGTACGGATTGAAAAAAAAAAAATCCCAGGCACAACTCTATATCTGCCAAGCATGATCTATAGATGAGCTTTGGAAAAGGTGAATTTAATTTAGTTCCATCCAAACTAAATTACTTGCACTGCGACTGAGAAATTTGCAAGGTAAATGTAATTTATACCAAGGTAGCAAATTTTCCACTCAACGGCACAGGAATTCCTTTAGAGAACTTTATCTTCAACGAGGAGCTGAACATTTGATTTTTGCAAAGCAAGTGTGACACATGACTGAATAATAGCAGTTGCTGTCACAGTCATTTTTAAATGGTAGTCACTAAAAGAAGTTGTATTTTAAAGATTTGACTACAATTAGGAAATTAAAAATATCCTAAACTATCAAATACTTACTATAATTTTATCAAAATATCTACAACATACAAATAACTGATTTTAAGCTGAGAGTTCCACTGACATTCTCACCATTAATGCTAATGCATTTAGAAAAATGTTGTGAATTCTCAAGTATTTTCACAGAATATCAGCCAGAAACGTGCACAGCATTTCTGTGCGTTGGACCTTAACTAAAATACAGTCTTTGGTGGCACCATTTTCACTATAACCTACATCTAACAGAGTTTTCTGCAGCAGTTTCTTTAAAAGATTCACCTTTTCTTTTCTTATCTTTCAGTGGATATTCAGACACAGCTTGAGAAATGGGATGACGTCAATTTTCATGGAGAAAGGAGTAGCAAGGTCCACCCTTCTGCAGAGCGAACATCAGCATCATCCAGAGCTCCATCAAAAGAGCTTTTATGGTACAACTTTTTGCTTTCCTTACAAAACCATTTCCAGTGCAGCTCTTGGAATTCAGAGGAGTGCTCGCTTGATGACAAGCCATATTATTAGATCTGTTATGATTACATTAAGTGTGTTCAAACAGACATTATGGACAATGTATCATAAGTAAGAACACTATAAAATGGCATTTTGCCACCAATTTTTCATGTTGTGAAAAGTAGCGGGTGCAATTACTAAATAAATGGTGGTGAGAGTTCTGCAGAGGCACCCAGTGAGCCAAAACCAACAACAAACGTGACTAAAATGAGTAGAACTGGATACTTGGCAGTGATCTGAGAGTCACTGGGTATCCAGTGGATTTTGGTTTTACTACCAAGAGGGCAGAATTTCTGCGTATAACTGGAAGAGGCAAGATAAAATACCCGGCTAAGTACTAATTTTCATGCAGTTCAATGTTCCCTAAAACTGCAGGGGATGTAAAGGAGGGAAGAATCAGACTTTGCCCTTGGGAACAGTTCATGTAGATTAATTCTGCTGCCTTCTTGATATGCAAGCAACACTCATTCACTACATTAGGCATGACCATAATTAGCATTTTCATACACTAGAAGCAGTTTTCTGACCAAATACTGCTTATCCTGTATCTTAACCTGCCCTTTATCTGTGGGTTTCACTAACTTAGAGCTTTACACAAGTTTTGCTCAGTGAGTTTGATTTTGGTCCTCCAGGGTTTCATTGTCTAGGAAGAAAGAATTTTAAGATATTGAGGCACAAAAATGCACGTATGCCAAGGTGAAGTCTTGTACTCTTGTACTCTGTTAAAGGAAATAACCTAATTGATCAGTATGTGCTTATGAAGCTGAAAGAGAGAAGGCAGCGTGTCTTAGTTGCAGTGATGAGTCTGTAAATCATCATTTCCAGGTCAGGCAGTGTGTCTTAGTGTGATGAGTCTGTAAATCATCATTTCCAGGTCCACAGAAAACAGATCCCAGTCGGAGCTGGCTAACGTCAAGAGTGCCTTGGACTCTGATTCAACCTCAGAATTAGAACTTGCACCTGCAACACAGGTAAAAGGATCTGGAAGATTTATTAATAATAAAAAGGCAAGTAGGAATTGTCCCACTGGCTAACCATTCACATTCTGGAAGAACTGCTCAAGAGATACTTTCAGGACCATTAGTTAAAAGACTCATACTGCCAAATATTGACACAGCTTCCAATTAAGATGTTCTGAAACTAACTTAAGGCTGTCAGCATCTCAAACATTCAGAGTTTAATACTACAGTGAACTGTGACCTTCCTGTACAGAGAGAAAGACTTCAAACTACAATTTACAGCATCATCTTGTTTCCCTTCTTCCAGTTCTGAAATTCATACTCCTAATGGTTCCTTCTCCCTGTTGTGTATCTCTTCACAAGGTCTCTTGGTCAATCAGGAATCCCCAGAATTGAGAAATGGCTAAGGAATACAGGAAGGAATCATTAGTCCAATGTTCATGAGCAGTTTGTCTCCACAAGTGGGAGATGGATGTGGGAGGCTTTTTTCTGCTGGAAAAGGAACTCTAAGAGGAGAGGGCTCTGGGCTGAAAGTCTGCAGATTTGCCCAGTTCTGCTGTCATATCACATGTTGGACAGGACCTTCCTTGTGGAAATGATTACTTGGAGTTTTAGATACGTGTGTATATGTGTAAACATATATTTATATATGCATTCACATAGACCACGCTGCTTATGCACCTTCTCTCCTGCTGCTTATTTTTTAACTGAAAAATTTCACGTTCAGCCAATGCCACTGGCAGGGGGAAGAGAGAGTTGTTTGGTGGATTCACTTTTAGTTGAAAATAATTTTCTCCTTTTCTGCAGCTATTTTTAGGCTTGGAATTCAAAACCTTTCTGTCAGATGGAAAATCTGGAAATTAATGGAAAATAATAGCCTCGTTTGAAAATGGAAGAATCTGACAGTAAAATGCCAAATGTCTTTTCCTGAGATTACGCACCATTCTGTATCATCTATAGAATATCAGGGTGTGTTTCAGTTAGGAGAAAAGTCTCCTTTGCTTCCCTGCTGCCTCTACATTACAAACAGGACCTTTTGTGTCCCTTTGGAAGCCTAACACTAGCTGTAATCATGATATCTTGCCTTTCTGTACAATAGATTTATACATCTCAGTAATGGAAAAGAGCTACTGCATAATGCCATCCACTTGAGATGGACGGTGTGTTTTCACATGCTTTGTCCAGCTCATCTTTAAGTACCTCTAACCCCTTTTAGGAGGCTGTTCCTCAGCCTGATAGATCTAAATGCCAGGAAGTTTGTGATCGGCTGAGATGTGTGTAAATCAGGTAGACAGTCACAGAATTTAAGTGCTGTGGCTTTCTGTAAAAGCAGTTACAAATTTAGTATATCACATCTCTACTTTATATGGCCTATTTCCTGTTTATCTTCCACTAGAATAACTGAGGAAGGAAAAATCCACATTTTAATTCAGTATAAGTTCAGTCAGTTGAGGCTCCATACTCTGTTGTAAAATGAAAAAAAAATTGAAGTTGAATCAGGCAACTTGAGAAAGAAGCAGAGTCGAAAATTCTTCCCTGTTGTTCTGGTGCATTTCATGCTTTGTTTTGTTTTATCATAAGTTGCTTTTTTTCAAACTTGCAATCCATTCAACTCTGTTGTAAAATGAAAAAAAAATTGAAGTTGAATCAGGCAACTTGAAAAAGAAGCAGAGTCTAAAATTCTTCCCTGTTGTTCTGGTGCACTTCATGCTTTGTTTTGTTTTATTTGCTTTTTTTCAAACTTGCAATCCATTCAAGTCATGAAATGTTGTTAAACTGGGAATTAGTAGTGCAGAGAAACGACCCGAACCGAGATTGCGTTGTTATTTTAGGTAGTTTACTTAGAAATTCAGTATTTTCATTCACTGCCTTCTTCATCCTGCTTGCACTTGGGCTGCCAAAGGTGTCAGCTCCCACCAAACAGGCTCATCTGTCTTGACCGAGTTCTTAATCTGCTTGTAAAAGAAATCACGTTAGAGCTTTTATCAAAGCATATGTTTTCCATACTTTGTCCTCTATAGATCCTGTCTGTCTCATTTCAGGGTAACCTTTGCATTGGCAACAGATTCTGCCGTATCCTAAAATTTCCTCTTGTCAAGCTTGCTGCAGTTTTCCATCAGCAATTTCCCAGACAATCACCTTCATCGCTCATCTTTGACACCTTAGATTTGGTTCCTCAGAGTGAAATACTAAGTAACTAGGTCATGTTTTCAATAAAATTATGCAATCTTCTTAACAAAACCCTGTGTTTACCGGCACGTGTGCCAGTACAAAATCACAAAGGCGTGCTTTGAATTACTGAGGAAGGAGGTTGTTGGAAGGGGCAGTACCATGGTGGCTGTCGTTGGATGTGGCCCTCTCGCTTCTCAGTCTTCTCCTCACATCACACGTCACCTGTGACTCACTCTTAAACTGCACTGGCCCAGAGGATCTCTGTTCTTTCTTTTCTCTGCCATTCTGGAAAGTTCCTTGTTAGGCTTTTGTTAGTACTGAGATATCCTACAGTGTTTGGGGTTTTTTGAAGGTTTCTTTTTTTCTCTTGTAATTACAAACTGCAGAGGGAGAGAACATGTTCCATCATATGTGCGTAAAGTCTGCTCATGTTTTAACTTTCTAAATGCCTCCCTGGGAATTTTAGGTAGTTCATGGCTCACTCAGAATGCATACAAAAATACCCTGACATGCTAAAAAACTGCTCCGAATATGTCAGCACTCTTAGACAGAGATAGAGCACTCTTAGACAGAGATAGAGCACAAAGCCTGTAAACCTTAAAAATCCACACTTTTGGGCAGCAATATTTAGAATGCAAAATTTATTCCCCGCTTCTCCCAAACAGCTACAGTAAGACTAATGGCCCTAATAGCTCTTTCTGGATGTGCCAGGTACTCTAATGACATGAAGAGTTACAAGGGACAGCTTTAGCTCATTATTTGAAGGTCTGCTGGAAAGTTAAGACTATAATTTAAGGCTCTCACCAACAGTTAAGAGACGTTCTGCCTTGTCTGTGTGTAAATGCAGCTCACGTGGGTTTTGCTAATTACTTTGGGGTTTGTCCCTCTGTTTGAGGGTGAGTATGGATTTAATGGAGAAGGTATATTCCTGGGGGGATCACGCAGGGACAAGGTTGTCTGCTCTGACATGGGGCAGAGGAGGGGATGTCTGCCCTTCTTGTCCCCTTCCCACTTGCTTCTCTACTGCCCCAACGACCTCCCTCTCCCCTTCTGCAGCGCTGCTCGGGCTGAAAACCGTGATTTACAGCAGTGTCCTTGACCCCAGGAAACTGCAGTCACTGGAAACAAAAGATTAAAAAGCGGAAGTAATCAAACAGTTTGCAAGAGCCAACTGGTAAATAATGAAAAGGCTCGGGACAAAATTAATGGCTGTCAACAGAGTTTTGTGTCAAGAAAACCAAATTCAATTCTTTGATCAGATTACAGGTCGGGTTGATAAATGTTGCTGTGTGATATTCTGTGAGATCTTTGAATTAACGTACCATATTCTAATTTTAAAATTAGCACCATACGATGTGAATAAATCAGCTCCTAAACAAATTAAAACCGCGTAACTTAAGCTCTCAAGCACAGCAGTTGTTTACTGGGAACTGTAATCACAGGGGGGTTCTTCTGTGATTCCAAAGAGAAACGATGATCTTCAATATTATTGAACTGAAAATAAATATGCAATATTATTGATCTGAAAAGAAATATTCATGCCATTCCTGATAAAATTTGCTTATGATGCAAGAGTGGAATGAGAAAAAAGCAAATAAAAGAGTCATAAAAATGAGCTGTGACCAAGACATCTGTAGAAATCTATATTCCAATACAGCTGCTTGAAAAATCATAACATTTCAGAGCAAGAATGCAGGCTGTACTTACAGCACGGCGCTGGAAGGCAATTGGAAAGGAACCCATGGTTCAGAGTGTAGGAGAATGTCAGCTGGAGTGCTCCCTGGGCAGTGCTGGGGCAAGGAGAGTGGGTAGAAGCAGACAGGATTAGCAGGAGATAGGAGATCACCCCAATTCTGTGCAGAGAAATGGCAGGAGAGGTACTGGAATATAGGGTTCGCTTTGGTTGACTGTATGGCTATAAAAAAAAATAAAGAGGGAGAGTAAAAGAGACACCAAAAGGGTTGAAATCTGAACAAAATGCCTCACAGTGAGAGAATTGAAGATCTCAGTCTCATTATATCATTTAGAAGACAATTAAAACCCAATTAAAGTCATCAGTATTTTTCCACAGAGAAAATAAGATGCACTAAAAGTGCTTTAAACTACTGGAAAAGGCGTAAGAAGTGAGAGCTGGAAACAGAAATTAAAATTAATACGAGAAACAAGGAAGGCAATTAAATGAATTTGCAAAAAAGTGATAAGATTAAAGTCTCTTGATAACTTTAAATTAAATCCAAGCACCTTCCTGAAAGGCATATATCCCAGAGAACCTCAGTTTATTCTCCTTGGAACATCAGTCTCATCCTGTGGATGGTGAGTGACAAATACCGTCCTGTGATATCCAGACAAATGGATTATTTGAACCAGTTCTCTCTTCTGCCCTAAATTCTATTAATCAATAAAATAGCTGTTTAGTGTGTAGGCTGACAACCTGAAATCAATTCCTGGCCTCACCCAAAGAAAAATAGTGTTTTCCAGACCACGTGGAGCAGAGGCAGTAGGTGGGAAGCCAGGCAGGTACTGGATGTTTCATCCCAGCAGGGCACGTTCCAACCCTCCCAGATACAGCCCAATGAGTCTGAAGTGAGCAAAAGGAGCCTTTTAGCTCTGTGGCTCATTGGAATTGAGTATTACAAGTATGGTCATCAGAAATATAATCACATAAATTAATGCAATTGGGACCACGGGCAGGCAAATAGCTAATGAGTTTAACCTCTGCCAAACACAAGGGAAGGGATTAGCAATCAGAGGTCTCTTTAGCAAGATTAGGCCACTTTGTGCTTTTCTGTGCTATCACTGAACACTGTTTGGGTACGTACCCTGCCTTTTGTGCAATAAAATAAATGTTTTTAGTAAAAAAAGAGGGAGAAACTTCTTTGGTACTTCCAATGGGACGGACTGATAGTAAGGTGCAGAAGGGAGAGCTGCTGACTGTAAAAAAGACTTGTCCGTCCAGTGAAGTCCGTAGCAAACTTGGTTCTCCAACATCATCCCAGAACAGAACCTGAAAGAAAAAAGCTAAATGTACAGGGAAAATGAGACACTTTCTTCCTGGAGCACACTCCCACAGTCATAATACAGGAGAAGGAACAATTACAGTAAAAGTCTTACACAAAATAGTCAGCTCTTCCCTTCTATAGACCAATTCTTGCATTGTCTTTTCTTGGATGTCTCTTTTGTAGCCCAACTCTTGCATTGTCTTTTCTTGGATGTCTCTTATCTTTCACACATCCTGAGTGAAAAGAAAAGTCTGGAAAAGATAAATGACTCTGCTTCCCATGAGAAATGATCTCTGCTGTGGTGTAGGAGAATTCAGAGGAATTCATGCAGGGACAGAACTAGTTTTGCCCAAGAAAAAGGCCATTTGGAGCTCTAGGCAATTAAGGACATAACTCAGAAATGTGGCAGAGAGTGTATCATCCCTTTCTGATTTATTCTTTTATTTTTTAGGCACGATCAGCTAAGGAGCAGCGTTGGGGAGCGCCCCTTCTCTCCAGAAATCACTCCTTGGAGGAGGAATTTGAGAGGGCGAAGGCAGCTGTTGAGGTATTACTTCATTTACTGGTTTCATTTTCAGCTGATGTTCTATGGATTTCATATTCATCTTGCAGCACAAGTATAGGAGAAAGTTGGAACTGGATTATTCAAAGCAGAGAAAAGATACATTTCCTGGAGTTACTCATCTCAAACAGCAGTTTGTCTCTTAAAAAAAAAATAATAATAACCTTTGCTATAAATGAAGATTAGACAGAACCAACTTTTCAAGCTCAATTTTTATTGCTACAGCAAGTGGGCCAAGAAAAATTCCCCATAAGTGTAAGTACTTCCAATCTTAAGCTATAAGAGCGAAGCATATTTTTCTGCAGCAACTGAATGTGTGCAGTCTGTTACTCAAGCTGAGACACAAACCAGTTCCCCAGGGTGAAACTGGAATTCAGCATCATTGATAAAGAGAGCGATTCCCTGCTGTAACGGGCAACTGCCCGTACGGCAGTAACCACCCACCAATGCATTTTTATAATTAGTGGCAGGATGTTAAATGCAGGAGCACTCTCGTTTCCTGACAAATCGATTCAGTTTGAAAAGGAGCAGGTATTTGGCGAGTTCTCCTATTGCACTTCTGGTTTTCTCACTAACTACTACTTTTCCAACATGAGAAATGCCTCTGGAGTGTTGTCCTGTAACACTGGTTCCAATTGAAATCCTGATCCTGGCTTGAGACAAGGTGGCATAATGGGTTTTTTAACAGATTCCAATAAAAAATTAGATATATGCATCAATTTTGAGCATCATATCTTCTCAGGGATTCAGTCGATGACCCTTCAAAATTCCCTCTCCACCCAGAGCCACAGCAGCTGCATCCACTGAGGCTGGAGCTCAGGCCGAACGATGTAACAGCCACTGAAATGAATTTTTGGGATGGAAAGGATGAGGCCGTGAACTGATTCCTGAAAACTGAATATTTTTAGCATGAACTGCAGTCTCACTATTCTCCGAACATCTAGAAGACTTTACGGATATTTGGGTTCAAATTTAAATTTAGTATCTGTATTTTAATACTCCTCTAACTCCAGATTTTTACCATTATAATTCCAGTGTTGGCAGTTGAACTATTCTAGATGAATATTTGTTGATTACAAACAAAACTAGGCTTAAATCACATGCTGGCTTCTGGCTAGAAACAGAAATTCTTATTTAAGGAATTAATTTGATTTGTAAGGTTTTTTTCATGACATGCTAAGGTAGGACTGCATGGTTTCTGCCAGGGTTTCTCAGGATCTTATCGCACAAGGCTGAAATGGGCACAATCAGCTGAGCTGTACACTGAATGCATTTTTCTCCTATTTTTTGAGTGCATTGTTTTTTTCCAGATGAAATAGATCCTTTAAAAACAACTGCAGGTGATGCACAATAGATTTTTTTGATGTTCCACATCGTCCCCATTTGCTCCTGGCAGGAAAGGAGAGACTTGCTTTCAGGTTGTCGCTGCTGAAGATGCTCTAGATCTTCCTCATTGTGCTGCAGCCTCATCCTCAGGGGTCTGTGACTGTGACACAGGGAATTTGATGATGAACGTCTCTGCCTTACGCTTAGTCATTAAACAAATGACGTCAGGACTCTTGGAACTGCCAGAAACCACCTGTGATGGGACTTCCCAGACCGTCAGCAGAAAGCAAAATGAGTTTAAGCCAACAAGAGATTACAAGACATTACTGAATTACTTTACAGAGTAAAGGAAGGAGGAGAATGTATTGTAAAAGAACCCCCTGCACATTAAAAGGTCATTCTGAGACAACAGAAGTTGTTTAAATGCTTCAATATAGTCTCAAAAACAGCTACTAAAAAGAATCTTATGAAATGTTTCCCTGACTGCGTAGCTGGCGGTCTTATTCTTCCTGCTTAATATAGAAACATGGACAAGGTAGTTCAAATGTAAAGGGAAGGATTCTTCGAGACCTTATAGAGCAGATATTTCTATTTGCATATGAAAAGAGTTGAATTTCCATCCGAGCTAACACGAAGTGGTGAGAAAGCTGGAGTGATTGAAATAAATTGCAGCCCATCTCAGAAAGATTAGTGCTTTCTTAAGCGGAGAATAGACACGGTTCAAAAATTCATCTTTCAGGCTTTGGATGTTTCTGTAATATTCTTCAAAGTGGTAAGATTAGCCAGAAAACTGATCAAGAAAAGGAAGCAAATCTCAGGTTCTTTGTGGCCTAGTTCGAAAGGAATTAATTAACAATTCAGTAAATGAAGACACCAAACTTTATCCTCCACCCAATATTCACTTTAGAGCTTTGGGAATGGCTTTAAGATGTCAGACTTTGCGATTAATGAAGATCCATGAGGTAATTCTTTCTTAAGAAGGTTTAAAGATGTCTATGCCATTGGGGAATCTTTTAAGAATGAAGAGGTAAGTAAATTAGCTTTTTTACTAGAGAGGGTCCAGATTCACTTGCAGCGATTGGGTGCTTGCAGACTTCCCTACTTTTTCCAGCATTCCAGAAGTTGGATTTGATTTTTCCCTCATCCCTTTGCTGTGCATGTGAGGGAGGCACAAATAGCCTAAAATCTTTATGATTTCCAAGTGCCACACCAAATATGTCTTAATGTAATCCTTCTAATAATTAGCTGTGTTTTACCAAAAATTGGTACTTTTGAATTTTTAAAAAATGCCAGCAGGGAGATTCAGATCCATCCTGTACCTACATTCTGTTAAAACAATTGTTTTATCATCCATCATCCTATTGGTAATGAGTTAGAAGAAATAAAAATGAAGCCAAGAAAGTGTAGAAACTCCCAACTGAGAAATGTCTCAGAGATGGGAAAAAAACCCTATTTTGATATTTTCTTATTCCACATTTGCCTGGTGTAGAGATTAAACTGCAGATGCCACACTGGTTTGTGAGTTTAGGCAAAAGAAGTTTTAAGCTGTCCTTCTCAGCATCATTTTATTTAGAACACTGTGTCACACAAGTCATCTGCTATAGAATATCCTGTTCTGAAGCACCAGAACATATTACACCTGAATTATGTGACAATAGTTGGAAGAAAGTGGGATTAATTTATTGTAGCCTAGGAAAATGTAGTACAGGATCATGAGTTTGTGGTTCCCACGAGCACTGGTTAGAATCCTTTCTGTATTTCTGGTTCACTATTTCGACATCCCTTTGGATGTGCCTGAGACTGCCTAAATCACCCTTTAAATTGGGATTTAGGGGTCATTCAGATGCATTTTATTACATTTTATTATTACTCTCTGAAATCGCAGTGGAAATCTTTGCCTCAATGTACATTTTTTATCTCTAAACTTTACTGAAGAGGCACACTTCAAATTTTGTTTTGAGAAGATATCAGCTAAGGTATAATCTTACATAGTTAGAACATGTCTAATTTACTGTGCCTTTCACATGGAAGAGTATGTTGATCGGTATGTGCTAATTCAAAGAACAACCACAAAACCTTTCACAGAATCACAGAATGCTGTGGGGTTGGAAGGGCCCTCTGGAGATCATCCAGTCCAACCCCCTGCCAGAGCAGGTCCACCCAGAGCAGGTCCCACAGAAACGTGTCCAGGTGGGTTTGAATGTCTCCAGAGAATGAGACTCCACCACCTCCCTGGGCAGCCTCTGCCAGGGCTCTGCCACCCTCACAGGAAAGAAGTTCCTCCTCATGTTGAGATGGAACTTCTTATGTTCAAGTTTGTGCCCATTTCCTCTTGTCCTGTCCCTGGGCACCACTGAAAAAAGACTGGTCCCATCCTCCTGACACCCATCCTTTAATTATTTATAGGTGTTGATCAGATCCCCCCTCAGCCTTCTCTTCTCCAGACTAAAAAGACCCAAGTCCCTCAGCCATTCCTCAGCAGAGAGATGAACCTTTCTTTCTTATGCATTGGTCAAGAAAAAACATTGCAAATTAATTTTTGGCAGTACAGGATGGGCAAAATTCTACTCTTAAAGCTATGAAAATAGGTAGGTTTAGAAATTAAGCAGCAATATTCAGAAAGTGCCCCCCCCCTCCCCAACTCCACCCCCTTTCACTCTGTCATAGGAAGTAAAGAGCCTGGAAATATTTTGCCTCCCATTTGTTTAACTGCTTCAGCATATTTTTAAGTACTAAGAGTAAAAATAGCCTCTTTGACAAAATGCAGAATATTCTGCTTGGAAGTAGTCAGATGGTAGGAACGTTTTTCCTGGTTGTCACTCCACTCAACCGCTGCAGATGATCTGAGAACGTGTTAAATGCCTTCAACCGGTCTCAAAACTTTTGCTGTGTCCAAAGCAATTTGCGGGCATTAAGGTAGCAAAAGCATTGAAAGGAGGTAATTGGCACCAGTCACGTAGCAAATAGAGTTAAAATTAGATCTAGGAGTCGTGATCCGCAGCCAGATTTTCAGCAGCATTCAATATTAATTTAACCCTCCTGCCACTGAAGTCAATGAGAAAATTGCTACTAAGGAGAGCTGAGATAGACTTAAGCCTTTAACGAAGACGGGGTGATATCTACAGTCCTCTTCCTCAAGGACATTAAACCCCTCTGCTATTGCCATTGCTATTTGTCATGGCAGTATTATATATTATAACATTTTTTTATGGGTCTTCGGAACCCCACATACTGGATGTGACGTGCTTGGGAAGCTGTAGCTGGGACTTCAGCCCATTTGGCCCAAATAAACTAATCTTTGCTTATACAAAATCCCAGTTGGGTCCTGGCCCGTGTCCCAGTAACATAGGATGAGTTGAGAGACTTTCTAGCAAAACATTTCTTCTCCCCATCGCCTTTTTCCTCCACCTTTGACTCGTTACAGACAGACTTTAAACATGGCTACTGGAACGCGGGGTAATCCGTTAGCTTTTCTAGCAGAGTGTGCACACAGTGAACATATGTATGAACTATAAATATGTAATTAAGCAGCAGAATTTGAATTTCAGACCTAAGACCCACTTACATGCTTGCCTACAATTTACAGAAATGTGATATGTTTCCAAACCATTGGTTCATAAGGGATTTTTGTGGGACAAGCAAAAATTCTAGTATAAACATCATATATATATATGTATCTATATATAATTATTTCTATAAGTTCATCTGTTTAAAAAGGAATTACTGATTACTTTGCAGTAGTTTTATTCAATATATTTCAGTATATTTATTCAGTTTTTTTCAGTAAAAACATGGTTGAATAATTTTTTTCTTCAGTGCCGAGCAGGTTTGTGCTGAACGCAAAACCGCTGACAGAGACACCTCTGGAACAGGGCAGTTTAAGAAATTCAAGTGCCTCTGGCCAGGGCTGATAAGAGTAAAAGAGAGAGCAACCTGATCCATTATCCTGCCTTTTCAAACCCTAAATGGACATTTCAGCACAATCTCATACCTGTTTAAAAGACTGTATTTCCTTTGAATTCAGAATGAAAGCAAATTTTGAAACCTCGGAAGTTGTTGTCTAACAGAGTTGTCAAGTTCTGTTGGTTGCTGTGACAAAGAGTGAGATCTCCTCTCCAGCAGTGAATGATTCCTGTTTCCTAGTCCCCAGAGGAACATGGCAGGCACCTTCAATAGATCTCATAATTGCATAATTCAGACAATTCTGAGTCTGCTGGAAGAAAGTGCTGGGTGTCAGGAGGCATGTGCTGGTCAGATCCACCGGGAAATGCCCATTGGATTCCTAGAAAGGGGATGAACCTTCCCATTTGTAAAGAACTTTATGACTTACAGTGACCACACCTGACGTTACCCAGAGCAAGTCCTCCTAATCCTCCCCACCTCGTTGGGGAGAGGATGATGTTCTCGTTGCCTTCTAGATTGGGTAGAATCTAGACAGTCTGGGCTTTCCTTTTCCCACGTACCTAATGAAGATTCAGACAGAACTATCTGGTTTTTAATACCTTCAATTTATTTTGATTAGCACCTCACTCACAAATTGTTCTGTCTGAAGCTCAGGAGAATTATTTGTGCTCTTGTCTTTGACATAAATAAACTCTCTGTAGTGTCAGTTCACTGAGGTTCTGGCCATGACCTTGTAGGCACCGGAGAACTTTGCAAAGGCTCGTAGTGCCCAGCAGATAATTCTGCTGTGCAACTGCTTTTCAGGGCTTATGACTAATGTGTGGAGGCTGAAAAAATAGCACCTTAACTTGGATTCTCCTCTCTTTTTTTTTTTTTTTTAATTCCTATTTCTATTTCTTGGCATCAGTTTCCAGTAGCCACAGTGGATCCCTCATTCTAGTTGTTACGCATCCTAAATCTCAGGCTTTTTTCGTCATTTCTGTTTCTCTTCTATATGCATTTTTTTCTCTTGTCTTGTCTTTGCACTGAATGTTAATCTTGCTGTACGATTTTGTAATCTCTTGCAGATTCCTCTCACCAGCACAGTACATGATCAATATCAAGATTTCTCCATTATATCAAAAATCCCCGTTTGTATTAATTCTCTTGTGCAAACACCCTCTGCCTCAGCCTTGCCATTACTCTTTTACGTAGCCAAAAATAATGCTGAATATACCAAAGTGGGATGTTTGCTCTCTTTTAAACTGGTTTATCTCTTATTCTTTAGCATGTATGCTTTGTTGATTTTTTTCCTTTTTTCTTTCTTTTTTTTTCTTTTCTGGCCAGGGCCAAGCAGCATTCATTTCCTTCAAATTTTATGTAACATTTTGCTGTCGGCATCCTTAGGATGCAGCGTGAGCTGCTGCAAACCCTGCTTCAAACACAACATACGCTGCCTCTGAGATAAAGAGTTTTCTGTTGATGAAGTGCATTCCAACACGAGAGATGACACCTAATTACATGTAATTCCAAATTTGTGCTGTAGTATTTCAACGTGATTATTAATAGAATTAATACTGCTCAGCAATATTGCCAGACCCAGACCACTCATAGAAAGAAATTAAAAGCTTGTTGTTAATTTTTCTTCCCTTTCTTTCCCCCCCTCTCTTTCTTCTAGTCAGACACAGAGTTTTGGGATAAAATGCAAGCAGAATGGGAAGAAATGGCTCGCAGAAACTGGATTTCAGAGAACCAGGAAGCACCAGGGCAAGTCACCATCTCAACCATTGAGAAGGTAACACAGAGGTTATAAATACAGGGAAACTCTGGGATCAACCTGGGCTGTTCGAGGGAACCCAAGGGAACTCTTTTGGGCACAGAAGCTAATTTTGCCCAAACAAACTCAGGTGCTTGCAGCACTAGAGGTTAACTGAGGATTTCAGGCTTTGAACTGAAGAGACAGCAGGTTACAAGCACCGCAGGGAGCCAACTGCTTGATGTGTGCTCTTTCCCACCAAACTGGGTGTACTGGGCTCGTGCTGGGACGAGTTCTGCTGTTACTGCAGTCACTGTGAGGGGTTGCCATTATCTTTGATGGGAGCAGCAGAGCTCAACATGAGTACCAGTCAGTAAAACTCTAGAGCTAAAGTAAAAATAAAGAGAGCAGAAACATAGATGTCCAGCGATGCTCACTTTTTACAAACGTCATGGGGAATCTCATCCCGTTTTCATAGAACAAAGGATGTTTATGTCCAGCTGGAAAATAGTGAGTCATTTGAATTTTAGAGAGTTGCATTCCTTGCTACAGTGCTGCTCTCTCTTCCCCAGGGTTATTATTTCCATACGGAGAATCCCTTCAAAGACTGGCCGGGTGCCTTTGAGGAAGGACTGAAAAAAATGAAAGAGGGGGACCTGCCAGTTACAATCTTATACCTGGAGGCTGCTATTCTACAAGAGCCCAATGATGCTGAGGTATTTTTACTCATGTGGCTTTTACTGGTGAAGGGAAAGGGGCTCCCTTTAGCATGAAGGAATGGCTTCAGGCCCCAAACCTGATGTTTTCAAACTATCTTTTAAACACTGCTACTGAAAAGATAAACATTTTGGATTTAACAAGAATGTTGTCAAATTTTTAAAAGTTACATCAGTTTCTACAATATTAATGTTTTCAAGGAGTATATACTTAAAGCCTGTTTTCTGTGAAACATGAAAAATATTTACAGAGTAAGTGCCTAGGTCTCTCTGAATCTATTGCTACATTAATCAAGCAGCAGCATTTCGAAAAGCAGAGAGAATCCCCACATTCTCCAGAATCCCTTAAACCTTTACAACTGAATAATTGTTCTTCACAATTCAGTTGTTCTTTTCCATAAAATTCTGGCAACATTTAAAATGTCCAGTAGCTCAAATTTAAGAAATCAGCATGTGATTTTACACTGACAGAATACTTTTGAATTCATTGATTATAAATATTATCGGGCCCAAAGAGATTCAAAACTGCCCCGATCGGTGCACACTGCAGAAAAATCCATAGTTAGTGCTGGAGAAATCTGCTATCTTTGTTAAGAGTGGAATTAGTTGTGACTCTGCTTGCAGTTGGGCATATATAACGAAATTAGACAATTGTGATTGTTTTTGCAGGCCTGGCAGTTCCTGGGTATAACGCAGGCGGAGAATGAGAACGAGCAGGCAGCCATTGTCGCCCTCCAAAGGTAGATGATGCTAATTGCTAAATAAGGGGTCTGATGAGTATTAGGTAATGGAGGCCTAGATATATTTAACATCATACTTATCTTGTAACACAAAGCGTTTATTTAACCAAGTAAAGCATTGACATGGATACAGAAATCTTCCCCGTGACTTCAGAGGGATGAGTAGTCATTAATATTTCTGTTTTATTAAACGAGGGCAATGTTTAATCTAGTAATTTCAGTAGTTGCACAAAGGAGAAGTTACACGGCCTGATAAACATGAATTAGGCATCATGCAAATAAAGTGCCTTTTTGATATTCTAGCCACTTGGCGTATTTTCTGTAGCCTGTCCTTTAATGAAGAGGTTTTCTTAATGGGAACGAGCTCCCTTCAGCTGCTGAATACTAAACATTTTTAGGTTGATAGAGATGTGAAGCTCACAGTATGATGTAAAATGTCAGTTCCAAAATATATGCATATCTTTACATACATATGAGTGTGTGCACAGCAACGTGTGTGTGTGTGTACACATATGCTTAATGCACTTACCACAGAAAATTAAGACAAAGTTCCTTCTTTAAAAGTATTATTGGGTAAACAAACTTCTGTGAGTGATTTTTTTCACACAGATTATTTTGGAAGAATTCAAGAATTGTGTTTGGCTAAAAAAAAATACCTCGATCTATTTTTATTTTCTGCCTAGGTGCTTGGAACTGCAGCCAAACAACCTGAAGGCTCTGATGGCCCTGGCTGTGAGTTACACCAACACTGGCCACCAGCAGGAAGCCTATCAAGCTCTAAGGAACTGGATAAAGCAAAATCCAAAGTACAAGTATATAGCCAGAAGCAAAAAAGGGTCCCCAGCACTTACCAGGAGAATGTCTAAGACGTCAGATGAAAGGTAATGCAGTGTAAATCCTGATGGTGGCAATTTTGATATCACTAGAAGCGATGGTGTGTTCTGTGTCCCCTTACTCTGTTCAACTCCAGCCTGTTCCCAGAGGTGGAAGACTCAACCTCTCCACTGGCAGGAGTGGGAAGCCAACACTGGTTTAGTGACTGACAGCTGTATCTTATGCCAGCCCTGGAAGATAAAAAATAATAATAAATAAAACAGCTAAAAAGAGATGCTTCCCCTCAACTCCCACTCACTTTCCTCTGACTCTGTCAATGACTACAGAGCCCTTTGAAATAACAAAAGAATCCAGGAGGTGGCAGCCCTTTGTCATGATTTCCTGAGGTCGATAAATAAGTATCTGAATTGTGAGATGCATGATCAAGTCATTAAAGGTACAAACACGATTTCTAGACTCAAACAGTAGGGCTATCTCACTGCTCGTCACTTTAAAGACTGTCCCTGTATTTTACCCTTATGACTAAACAAGCCCTGGGTTGACAAGATAATTTAGTATAAGCAAAAATAAAATATCAACTCCTGCTTAATTGCTGAGAGTGTTGTTCTACTTTGGCTTCATCTGGTGTTGCCAGTGCAAAGGTTTTATGAATCCTACAGTGGGTACAGAAGTCTTACATTTTGGCATCTTTCTTCAGGGACCTGGGCCAGTCAATAAAGTTGAAGTTTATTTTGGATTTTAGGAGTTTATCGCTTCTGCTAAACCCACTGCAAGGATTTCAATTTGCAATCAATATTGTAATCTCTGTAAAGAACTGTAAGATGGAGCCTTCAGTTGTTTTTCCCCCTTGTCTAGCTCGTTACTTGAAGAAGTGAAGGATTTGTACCTGGAGGCTGCTCACCAGAATGGTGATATGATAGACCCTGACTTGCAGACAGGACTTGGAGTTCTTTTCCACCTGAACGGAGAATTTAACAGAGCAATAGATGCATTTAGTGCTGCTTTAACTGTTCGACCAGAGGTACATCTTATGCTTTTACATTTTTAAGAATTTAGCTTTACAGGCCGTTTTCTTTCTCCCCTCTCGATCAGGCTAATATTAATGAGATGTCACTTCAGCCATTAAAATTTTACTACCTGAAATAGAAAGTTAATTACAAGACAGTCCCGTTTAGAAACAGATTTATACATGTCCAGTTCCTAGCTGTGTGCTGATTAATTGCACGAGTTATATAAAGTTACCTCTAATCAGGAGTCAGAACCTCACAGGCTGTGTCAATTAAGATACAATACTGTTATTTTCTGCAGTCCCCCTTACTTTGCAAGCAAAAGTGAGCTATGGTGTCCATTTTTTTGACACCTACAGTAGAAAACTCATTTTCTCACCAGGACTATACCCTATGGAACCGTCTGGGAGCAACCTTGGCAAACGGGGATCGGAGCGAGGAAGCTGTGGAGGCGTACACGCGTGCTTTGGAGATCCAGCCTGGCTTCATCCGGTCCAGATACAATTTAGGGATAAGCTGCATCAACCTAGGGGCATACAGGTGAGGTACAAAAAAGTAACTTCCTAGCTGGAGCTATCTAAGAACAAAAAAATACCAGAACAGAGCTATATAATCTCCGCTATTGTAAAATTTGTAATTATTTTTTACAAAGTGCTTTACAAACCAATGATACTTTTCTTATAGCCACAAATTTTATATAGCAGAACTACTGAATTTCTATTAAAAGAAAGCAAATCCCTCATTTAGCATTTTTTTTAGCTCTAAGTGCAAGTACTTTTATTATAATCAGTGGGATTGTTCTCACACTTAGTCCTGTGCTCAAGAGCTTTTCTAAAAGAAAATAGAACCTGTCTTTAGAAGAGAAATGTCTGTTAAACTGCTTCACATAAGTTAATGCCGTCAAAAACAGGTTTTGGTACATTCTTTGGGAATCAAGGGTGATGTTCCAGGGTCCCAGCTGTCAGTTTAAGAGAGTTAAGATGAAGGGGAGCTACACAGATGTATGAATAGACTGAGTTCTGCATTACCACAAGCCACGTCCACTCATTTAAAGAAAATCAAGCAAGAATAACACAAAGGGACTGATGAACTGCTTTCTAAATAATATACTTGAGTCTAGCATAGAACTTGAGAAAGTTTTACTCGAGTTTTTAAGCAAATTATAGTGCTTGTTTCTTTTTTCTTCTTTCCTACAGAGAGGCCGTCAGCAATTTTCTCACTGCTCTCAGCTTGCAGCGGAAGAGCAGGAATCAACAACAGGTTCCCCATCCTGCTCTCTCAGGCAATATTTGGGCAGCCCTTCGAATTGCTCTGTCTATGATGGACCAGCCAGAACTATTCCAAGCTGCCAACGTGGGTGATCTAGACATTCTGTTAAGAGCTTTTAATCTAGAGCCGTAATAAAAAGTATCCGCGCATTGATTAAATTGTACTAGGAAACAGAGAACTCTTTTATTACTCATCTCAAAGTGACCACCTTTTCCAAAAGATCATGGCTGTAGATCAGTAGGGGGATTCTCTCAGACATTATTCCAGAAGGAAAAGTTCAAAAGCACAAGATATTGTATATAAAGTCAAATTCCAAGGACTGAAATGAGCTGCGGCTAATCTGACAAAGCCCTGGACTAGATGAAATAGCTGTTTATGAAGAATCTTCATCCCATGCAAGCTATATCTCTCTATATACACAGCTATACAAAGGAAAATATATTAAGAACAAACCTAGGTAATTATAATTGCACATTCAAACGGCAAGCGATGCATCCAAGGAACCTGCTTCGGAGCTCATCGCACTACGCTGACATCCCTTTGCCCTACAACGGGGATTCCCCATCCTTTGGTTTCTTTGTTGAAAAGTCTTCTCAAGGTCCATTTTTTAACAAAGCTCTGAAAATAGCTGCATGTCAAACAAACAGATGCATTTTGGTTTGAATATATTTATTAGTTGGCGGTCCGGAAAATTTTTTTGCTTCCGAAATGTACCTCGAATTACTTGGGCCCGATTCTGCAGGCGCACGGGGTTGTAAACCATGGGCAACGTTAAGAGGAAGGTTGTCCATCCAGGGAGGTCTTTGGAATCAGGCCACATCCATCCGGGATGGCCAGGAGCTGCCAGCAGAAGCAGGGATTTGCACTAGGATCGTTGCTGTTTAAACCAACCATGCTTGATCTCAGACAGAGCACATCTGCTTCAAAGGAGCTCGCAACAGCATCTGCACCGATCTATGTACTTCTGCACTTTAACCTTTCTTTGTGTAAAATAGTGCTATGCTTTTATTTTGGTTACGAAGGAAGGAATGTACAGGATAGGCCTTGTTGGCATAGAGGACCAAATATCATTTCCTGAGATGCGATGAGAGGGGCTTCGATATTCTTATGTTTAAAAAAATGCAAATAGAGTATAAACTGCAATATCTATTAGAGAGATGATTCTATTATGCATCCGTCAGGTACTACACACACCCACGCATGTGCATGCACATACATGTTGTATGTGAATGGTGTCATTTCAGAACATAACAAGCCACAGATCTTTATTGCAACTAAAGAAAAGTTTTCATAGGAGCTAATGCCCTCAGACCATGCTCGAGGGAAAATCTTCCCCAGAAACCATGGTCTATATAATGCTTGTAGGATTGAGACTAAATTTGATCCTGCTGTTACAGGAGGCAGCAGCAAAAGCCTCAGTGACCTCCATGATATCAGACTAAATCCTTAGATAACATCACTGTTTGTAGCTGCTTAAAAATGTGTGTGCATATACATATTTTTATATATATATATATACACACCCCATCTTAATTTGCCCTGATTGGATGACTGGAGAACAGCACTGGGGGCAGGACACTGCCACACGGTGAAGGGATTGATTCAGCCACAGGCAAACACATTTAGTTCAAGGTGAACGTGTCAATCAAAGACAGGAATAGAAATTTTTAAGGAGGCAGTTTTCAGTTGCTGGCATTTTTAATATTTCTCCTAAATGGTGAAAGATAAAAATGTGATTAGATGCCTACTGTGTTGATCTGTGGTCAGGAATTCAATGTGCAAGGCAGCTATTTGAATGTGTTAAAGTGGGACAAATATCACATTTCCTATAAACAGCGTTAAAAGAAAAATCCAGCTCAAGCAGCTGGATATAAAAACCCCATTCAACTGCAGAGATCACGGAGAGAGCAGCTCTGTGGGAACTGGGCAGTTTCACCAGGACAAACCTGCAGCTTCTTGCAGCTGTCTGTTATTTTGAGCAACCACTTAAAGGAAAATTCCATCTAAGGCAGCGCAATCGCTGCATCTGATCGCCAACTATAGCCTGGTGATTTATAAAAGTAATAAATTCTCATTTTAAAAAATAAAAATTAAAAAATCAAAGGCTTACACCTGACTCTCTGCCACAGAACAGAGGAGCTGAAACGGCTATAGGGATTTTTTCTAATAGTGCTTTATTAATTCATCCTTTACCTATATATTCCTGTTTAGAACTGATTTCCACACCCTTCTCTAAGGCTTGGTTAGGGAGGACTGGCTGGGAATGTCACTTTGGCTCAGGGGGCTGCTCTGCGCCCGTATCTGCTGACAACAGTTTGCTCTTTTGCTTTGACAGCGATGTGTGATGACAGCTCTTTATTGATAAGGCAGAGCAGAAGGTGCAGCGCAATTGAATCTGAGAAGTGATAAGAGAGGCTGTAAAGCAAAGGCATATGTGCTTCGGTTGTGCTTGATGCCCTGCCATCAGGCAAGTTCTTCCAGAATATCCTCTGTGCTGTTGGGCAGGATAATCAGCGCTTATCCAGAGGAATTAGCTGTTCAGGAGCTTTATTTTTATACCTTTCAAATCAAAAAGCCCAACCCTCGAATGCTTGACTTCTCAGAGCCGGAATGACAAAAACCCAACCCTCAAATGCTTGACTTCTCAGAGCCGGAATGACAAGGGGAATTTGATATTGATGGCAGTTGACTAAACCTCTTCTCCTCTAGCGTGTGGATGAGAAACACAGCAATTCCGTTAGGAAAACCTCAAGCAACTCCTATCCTTCCCCAAAAGAACAGGCAAATTAGGTAGATTTTGATTTATCCTGGGATGTGCTGCCCAAAACAGCATTTCTCTGCTGACACACGTCCACACCCGTGCAACTGGCACACGGAAAGTTGTCTGTGCAAACCCAGGACCGAGCCACGGGGGCTGAGCCCTGCCTGCCACGGGGATGCTTGGGACTCAGTCCCTCCTGAGCACCACAGTTCCACTCTCCAAAGCCTGCCCAAAGAGCCTGTGTGTGCTCCTGGAGACCATCCCCACTGTTCTCTCCTGGTGCAGATACCCTGGGGCCAGTTAACCACGTCCCACTGCCCGAGACACAGCAGGAGGGGAAGACTAAAGGAGACAGACACCAGTTCTGGCCTGGCCTGTGTGGGAGAACAGCCAGTGACTGAGCTCACCTCCCTCTAACAGGACTCTTGGGACTTCTGGGGACTTCTTCAATATCCTGGGCTTTACTGTCCTCCTTTAGCCCCCGCTGCCCAGCACTGTCAGTGCAGAAGAAGGGATTAGATGCAGCTTTGATCTGACCTCACGGCGTTTCTTAAATATTTAGAGGCAAATGTGTGTATTTGCCTGAAACAGCAAGAGGAAACGTGAGGAGGCTACAACAAATTAACACCTTGAAGAGAAAATTCATCTACTGGTACTTCCAACCAGGCGTGAGGTAGGATAAATAAGGCTGAAGAGCATCAGATGGAGCCTGAGAGTGAGAGGCAGGAGATCTGGGTCCTTTCCTCCCTGCTCCCCCTGAGCTGGACCAAGTCAGACCCTCCTGCCACCCCTGACCTGCCCAGGTGTGCACAGAAGGAAGAAGAAGGGCACAAACAGCCATGGCATGTGGTGGCACCACAGGAGAGCAGGGCAGTGTCACACTCTCATGGACTGTGCAGGTGAGGTCCCTGCTGGCGTAAATTGGAAGGTAACACACAAACAGAAGGTTGCTCAGGTCTAAGGATGGAGGTGATTTTACACAGAGACAAGCAATTTCAGCAGGGAAGAGTCTGGGAGACATTTCAGGATGACAGCTGCAGAGCATCTACGGGGTGATGCCAAATTAGAGTGCTGCAATGATTTATCATCATCTCCCATCCCTCTTTCCCCTTCTTCTTACTCCCCTCTTTCTCCAGAGGTGATTTATCACTGCCAGGTAATTAACTCCAAGTTTTTTGAGTCTTTCCTCTATTTTGTATTTCATGCAATTAAAAAAAAAAAAAAAAAAGCTTTCCTAACCCCCAGCTTGTGCCTGTCCCTCCACTGCAAAGCTTTACGAGTATGTCTGACCTCTAAGGCTGATCCATGAAGCTGCTGAGCCCCGAGAGCCCGTATCCTTTTCGGGAGCACCCAGCTCTCTGTGTGATCAGCTCATGTGTGTGGGTTCAGGTGCCGGACGAGGGCTGGCCTCCCACGCCACGGCACACGCTGAACAGGCACCAAAATCCAAGTGACTATTTACAGAGGGAGGCTTTGTGACAAAAAGCTCATCTCTTAAAACTGTACTGACTCTCTCAAAACCTTGTTGGGATGGACTGATTTATGTCAGTTTGAGGAACTGGTTCAGTCTGTAGGTAAACACATACACGTGTCGGTACGTGATGGTATTTTCTTATGACCTGATAAATCACAGCACTTGTAAAAATATCGAGGGGGAGGTTCAAAGGACAGAAAACCTCACATGAGGATATTGCATGCAACCACATTAACCAATAACCACGCTGAAGTATTAACACAAAGCATGCAGTGATGCTACCCAAGTATATGTTTACAGAATGCATGCAGAAGGCCCACGCATAGGGTATTTTTAAACTATCGGTCCGTATCTTCTACAGGATATTTTTCAAGCACTTTGCATCTGCCAAACTCAAAACAGAGTTGTTCATGTTATTCAGAACAGGTTAGATCAAACGCAGAGCCCCTTTTTAAATTCCATCCTTAGAAATCATATCGCCTTGCGGATCTCATGTTTGCTTCAAGTGTTTAATTAATGACACCCACCTGTAGTAGCAGCTTCTGCAGATATGTTTTAGAATCCTCTTAAGAATTAAAAAGCTAAACGTGCACAGCTTTCACAGTGAAGCTGGATGTTTGGATTTTCACATTTTCTTCTCTAGTCCAAACCAGAGAAAAGATCCCCAGAACTGGCAAAAGAATGATAGTTTCAGTCTACGCTTACTCACCATGGCCCAGGCTTTTCAAACTCGCCCACCAGCTCCAAAGGCAGCTCCATGTCTGACTGCCCTCTTCAAGATATGTACATGTAAATCTTCACAGGATCCAAGCCTCTGCTGCATCCCCGATGTCAGCTGCAGACAATTAGCTCAGCTGAAAAGCTCAGAACATCAAGTTAAGTACAAAGAGCTAATGAGCCAATCTAGAAAACCTGGGCCTGTCAGTGAGATGAAGAGATAACACCGAGAGATGGGCAGGGTGACCCTAGGGACATCCACAGAGCACAGGCCTCCAGAACACAACAGCCACCACGACAGAAATAATAACTGATACATAAGTGAAACATAAATTGGTTTTAGATCCCTTTTGCCCAAACAGGCGTCTGCAAAATGAGACATATTAGTTACTTGGCATGGACAACATTGAGATTTCTGGTCACCAGTGTTTTCAGCTTAGCAGCCTGTGCAGTGAGTTCATGTACTAAATGTTTATAAAATAGTGTGTATTCACAGATAAAAGTGATAGAAAAAATGCACTGCATGTTGTGAAACACACAGTGGGTAGGCAATATGGCCTTATCTACGATCCACACCTCATCAAGGCTAGAAATCAGATTCCTTCATCATAGGCCTACTGGTTTTAGACCAGTGAAATAAATCAGCGGAAAGGAGTGCTGTGCGTGAAGAGATCACTGACACTCTCAACAAACCCAGGCAAAATGAAAAAACGAGCACGTCACAGAATCCCCAGGAAGTTTCAGAGCCTCGGCCACAAAGGAGTGGGTGTTAGACCCAGGGAAGAGGCAGAAGGAATCCAAAGTTCCCTCAAACGAGCTGTAACTCTACAAAGGCCTGCACCCGCGACGGCCCATCAAGCGAGCTTGCATGGTCAAGACTTCATGTGCTTTGATCTTTTTTCCCCTTCCACATTTACAGAATGCCATCGACATTGGCTAAACCTTTAATTTAAATAGCCTTTTTAATATCCGTCATCTATTGTAAATTCAGAAAAAATCAAAACATTTATAAATATATTTTATATATCAGAGTATAACGTATCTAGAGCAAAATAAACCGGTATAGTTTTGAGAGGCACTCCGTGCTGCTGCTTCTATTTGCTGTAAAGCGTTTGAAAACCTTTGCAATCCTGC